TGAGGTCACGATTTGATTCCCAGTTGGAGTGCATGCCCAGGTTTGTGGGCACATCCCCAGTAGGGGGCGTGCAAGAGGCAGCTGGTGAATGTTTCTCTCTCATCGATGTTTCTAACTCTCTATCTCTCTTTCCCTTCCTCAGTAAAAAATCAATAAAATATATTTTTAAAAAAAATCCAGCGTTCTCCGGGTGACATACCCCAATTACAAGATATACAAAAACTGTATTACCACAGGTCTTTCCTTTCTAATCAATCTAATTCTCGAAAAAAATTTACAAAATTTTATGGCTTCAAGAGGAGAGACAGAACTAGGTGTTTAAAATACAAATATTTTTAAACACTTATTTTTGTAGGTTTGGGTCAGTGGATAGAGTGCCAGCCTGCAGACTAAAGGGTCCTGGGTTTGATTCTGGTCAAGGACACATACCACAATTACAGGATCGATCCTGGCCCTGGTCAGGGCACATATGGGAGGCAACTAATCGACGTTTCTCTCTCACATTGATGTTTCTCTCTCTCTGTCTCTCCCTTTCCCTCCCACTCTCTCTAAAAAAATATTCTTGGGTGAGGATTAACAACAACAAAAAAGTGGTAATTACTCAATAAAGTTTATTTTTAAAAAATAAAATAAAATGCAATTATTTTTATATATCTTTTATTATTATAAATCTTAATATTACATAATTGATAAGTTATTTTCTTAAATGAGTTTAAACCAGTTTTACTATCTTGATAGTTTTAACTTGATTCTCAGGTTCATAATACTAAACTTTAGATTACTTTATATTACATTAACTAACATAAATTTTATATCCTCTGTATTTGGAAAAATTCCCAATTCAAATTCTATCAATCTCTTACTAAGAACACACACTTAGTACTATAGAAACATTAAAGCTCATTTTTATTTACCAAAGGTTTCATGAGCCTACAGAACAAGTTAATGAAATCCCTCAAGAGGATGTAATAGCAAATAATCCCTATTTCCACCTTTTAGATTTTTACCAAGTAACCAACTTCTAAACATAATTTACATATTATATTGTTTACAATTATTAAACATCATGACTTTAAAAACAGATTTTGAGTTTGAGACAGGGGTCAACAAATATTTTTCTGTAGAGGTTCAGATAGTAAATATTTTAGGCTTTGAAAACCACAAGATCTATGTCGCAACCGCTCAATTCTGTTATTACAGTGATGGAAGCTGCTATAGATGAGATGTAAATGAATAAGTGTAAGGGCATGTTCCAATAAAACTTTATTTATAAAAATGAGCAGCAGGCTCAGTCAGTGCGATTCAGTGGTTGATCGTCCACTCATGCACCAAGAGGTCCCAGGTTCAATACCTGGATTATGGGCTGCATCCCCAGTAGGGGATGTATAGGAAGCTGCCAACTGACATTGATGCATCGATGTTTCTCTCTCTCTCCCTTTCTCGCTCTCTCTAAAATCAATAAAAAACATATTTTTTTAAATGAGCAGCAGGCCAGATTCATTCCTTGGGCCCTAGTTTGCTGACCCCAGGTTTAAAGTATTACACCTTCCAGCTCTGCTCATATAAAAGTAGTATAGGTTTTCCCTCTTGCTTATTATTTTAATGGCAATTTCCACATTTAAGCACTATCCATTCATTCATTTATTCTATAGATTTTTACCAAGTGCCTACTATGTGCCAGAAACAATAATAGGAGTTATAAATAAATAAAATAAAATCCCAACCTCTTAATACTTACATTCTAATAAGGAAATCAATAAATAAACAAGCTAATAAGTACATAATATAATTTCAAGTAGTGCTAAATATGAAGAAAACTAAAGCAAAGTAAAAAGAGTGGGAAAAAAAAGGTGAGACTCTTTGGATAGATCAGGGATAGATCAGGAAATCACTTTTAAGTAGAGAATGAATGAAGCAAGTGAACAATGCATATAATATCTGGGGGAAGAGCATTACAGGCATATGGAAGAGCATCTGCAAGGGCCCTAAAGCAGGAGGCCCAGAAATCAGGATTTTAAAAAGATTCCCAGGTGATTCTAATGGGCAGCCAAGGTTGAGAACCACTGCCCTAAAGAGATTCAGAAAGCTAAGACGTTTGAATAAAGACAAGATAAACCTGGGGGATAAAAGGATCACTGGTAGCTGTGCTGAGAATAGACTGCAGGGGGCAGAAGTGAAACAGGAAGACCAATCCTAAGCTGTTGCATGCATTTCTAAACTTCTAAAATGGTAAATAGATATAGATAGATAGATATAGATACACATATAGAGAGGAATATATATTATATAATGCTTTTAGAAAGGAAAAGAAAGGGGAGGAGAAGGGGCGATTAAGGGGGGCTAGGAGAGAAGGAGGGGGAAACATCCATGAGAAAGAAACATCCATCAGTTGCCTCCCCTACACGCTCCAATAGGGGATGGAACTCCCAACCTAGGTTAGTGCCCTGACCAGGAATCGAACTCGCAATCTTCTGGTGTAGGAAGAATGCTCCAACCAAATGAGCCACCCGGCCAGAGCTAAACAGTTTTGAAACACAACTAACAATTGTAAAAGCATAGCAGATGAAATTTTTTAAAAGATATTTTATTGATTTTTTACAGAGAGGAAGAGAGAGGGATAGAGAGTTAGAAACATCGATGAGAGAGAAACATCGACCAGCTGCCCCCTGCACACCCCCTACTGGGGATGTGCCCGCAACCAAGGTATATGCCCCTGACCATAATCGAACCTGGGACCCTTCAGTCCTCAGACCGGCGCTCTATCCACTGAGCCAAACCGGTTAGGGCAGCAGATGAAATTTTAACATTGACTTTCATCAAAGTAAGTGTGACTTTAGGCTAACTGCTTAAGACTCCATCCATGAGCCTGTTTCCTAATCTTTAAAACGGATGTCCACCATAAAGGTGTTTGCAAGGGACAAATTAAACAACATGTAAAACGGCTAGTACAGTTCCTAACACACAGGAGGCCCAAAAAATCGAAAATCATCTTTACAGTCTTATTTCTACACTAGATTCATGCCTATGACTAGCCTCAGTCTAGACCAGTGTTATCCAAGGCCGCGGCCGTTACCACGTGTGATTACCGAGCATTGGAAATGTGGCAGGTCCAAGTGGATACGTGTTTTAAGTGTAAAATACAGACTTAGTGAAAAAAATAATGATATAAAATATAACTACTGTACATTGATTACATGTAAGGAGATAATACTTTGAATATACTGGGTTAAATTTTTTCAGTTAACCACCTTTATTTTTTAACTTGATTTATGTGGCTACCAGAACTGTTTTAAAAAATATATTTTATTGATTTTTTTACTGAGAGGAAGAGAGAGGGATAGAGAGTTAGAAACACCGATGAGAGAGAAACATCCATCAGCTGCCTCCTGCACATCTCCTACTGGGTATGTGCCCGCAACCAAGCAAGGCACATGCCCTTGACCGGAATCGAACCCGGGACCCTTCAGTCCGCAGGCCGACGCTCTATCCACTGAGCCAAACCGGCCAGGGCCAGAACACTTAAGTATATACTTAGCTCTCTTTACGTTTCTACCGGACAGATATGCTCTCAGCCACACGGTGGACTCCCTGACAGGGGTTCAATCCGGCCCAGGCCCCCCCTAATCCCGGCTCACGTTAACGCTCCCCACTCCCACCGCACGGGGAAGCCTGACCGTGTAATCGCTCTTAATTGTTAAGTGTGAAGCCCACAGATCCGCCGAGACAACTCCAGGTTGTTACCTACAGAAGAGATGTGTCTCTAGAGAAAACCCCGGCGTCTCCTCCCGCGGGCGCCCGTCGGCACCGCTGGAGGGGCTGGGGCTTGAGCAGAAAGGGGTCGCCCTTCAGGAGCGAGAGGAGACGACGGAGCCCGCGCCCGGGTCTGCAGGCGCCCTGCGGCGCCCACGGAGAAGTCTGAAGAGGAAAGCCTTTCCAGCTTGGGGGGCGGGGAGTGGGGGGGGACGAGTCTGAAGCGGGGAGAGGGGCTGGGCTCTGAGGCGGGGGCTGCAGGGAGGAGCGGTACCTTAAGAATCCCCCGCATCTTCGCCAGAAAAGGCCGGAACTCCTCGGGGGGCACCTCGGGGTAGAGCTGGCTCCGCAGCAGCTCCTCCGTAGGGGCAGGGGCGATCGGTGGCTTTGGAAGCCAGGTTCTGGGAGGAGCCCGTGATGGCAGGGGCCAGCTCTGCTCTGCAAAACCCATCCCCTTAGAGCAGTGATTCTCAACTTTCCTAATGCCACGACCCTTTAATACAGTTCCCCATGTTGTGGTGACCCCCCAACCACAAAATTATTTTCGTTGCTACTTCATAACTGTAATTTTGCTACTGTTATGAATCGTAATGTAAATATCTGATGTGCAGGATGTATTTTCATTGTTACAAATGGAACATAATTAAAGCATAGTGATTAATCACAAAACAATATGTAATTATACATATATGTGTTTTCCGAAGGTCTTAGGCAACCCCTGTGAAAGGGTCCTTGGACCCCCCCAAAGGTGTCGCAACCCACAGGTTGAGAACCCCTGCCTTAGAGTTTTGCAGTCCATTCAGTTCCAGAAGGATCATCTTGCTTCCACGGATTTCCTTCATCACTGCAGGGCCCACACAGAGGCAAGAACACTTGGCGATCACTTGAGATAGGGTTGCGTCCTATGAAAGTGTCAGTTTAACTTCTGGGTGACTGCATCTCATTCCAGACCTTACCAGTCTACTAACTGAATAGAATCTATCACTCAGATCTAATCTCTGCCTAATCCTTACCTGTCCAAGAAAATTTAACTTTCCCCTGATAACAATGCCTTTGCTTGGATTGTTACTTGCCTTTTTATGTCATTAATCTTTCCAGCTAGATCAGTGCCTCTGATCCAATGCTCCTTTCCATAATAAACATTTTGTCAACATCTTTACTGTCCTGAAATGACATGCATGATAATATAGTTATCTACCTATATAATTTCAAAAATTCCATGTATTGTTCACTCATAAAAAGGAACGCCATACTGATAGGTGCGACAACATGGACGCACCTTTAAAACATGCTAAGTAGCCCTAGCCACTTTGGTTCAGTGGATAGAGCCTCAGCCTGCGGACGAAAGGGTCCCTGCTCTGAAAAATTCGGGGCAAGGGCAGGTACTTTGGTTGCAGGCTCCTCCCCGCGCTGTGGCTCTGGTTGAGGCTCCTGCTGAGAGCAGCCAATCCATGTGTTTCTCTCACAGCGATGTTTCTCTTTGTTTTTCCCTCTCTTTTCCACGCTCTCTAAAAAATCAATGGAAAAATATCCTCAGGTGAGGATTAACAAAAAAATAAATTAAATAAAATAAAAATAAAACATGCTAAGTAAAAGAAGACAGACACAAAATGATAGCAATTATATGATCCCATTATATGAAATGTCCAGAATAGGCAAATCCATGCAGACAGAAAGTAGTTCAATGGTTGCCAGAGATTAGAGAAAGGGAGAATGACATTAATGGGTACTGGATTTCTTTTAGGGAGGTGATGAAAATGTTCTAGATTAGAATTATACTAGTAGGTAGTGGTTATGATTATGCAACTTTGTGAATATAATAAAATCCACTGAATTGTACACTTTAAGGGGTCTTTCACAGTATGTGAATTATATCTCAATTTAAAAATCAATATAAAAGCCTAATTGTAATTTAGAATAAAAAATAAAAGGACATTTACAGGGAACTCATGCAACTTAACAACAGGAAGATCAACAATCCAATCAAAAAATGGGCAACGGACCTAGATAGACACTTTTTGAAAGAGGACATACAGAAGGCTGAAAGACATATGAAAACATGCTCAAAGTCACTAATTATATGAGAGATGCAAATCAAAACAACAATGTGTTATCATCTCACACCTGCCAGAATGG